ACATTTTATTTTTTCCATGTACACTTGCTACATGACTTGCTTCCCCATTGGATCTATATTACCTAAGCGGGTATGCTTGTAATCTTCTTAGTTGATCATAGTTTTCCCCCACTTTTTAAACACCTAATGATTTTGCTCTATAACTTCTCCTGTCCCCCACTTTTTAAACACCTAATGATTTTGCTCTATAAAACTTCTCCTGTGAAGTGGGGTCCGTGGCAACCCGTTTGGGGCTGAAATTTCCTGTCTCAAGAGATAAAATCGCTTCTCTCTCAATAAATATTTCCTACTCCATGATTCCTTATAATTCCTTTTCAGTTTTGGGGAGCACGAACTCAGTGTATCTGACACCTAGCAGGTTGAAAGTTATATTATTTCCCCTATGTCATTTCGAGGTCTTATGTCAAAATGATATTCTAGCTGACGGTTCAGTCGCTCAGCATCCACTTTCCTTCCTGACAGAGCCTTACTGTTGGCCAAATTCCCCTGCACATTCCACCTCTAGGTGAGGATAAACATTACTGCTTGCTCTTCCTGACAGTGCTTTCCCTGCTCTTGGCGTATCAGGGGGCACAGGACACCCAATGTCCTTGGATCTGGCTGCCCTGCCAGGACTACCCTTGGGCCCAGGGACACCAGGAGAGAGGAACTACCTGGGGTTCACTGACTTTACCACCAACCCCAGGCAAGCTGCAGTAAGAGGGTCCTGCTTGGGGAACCACCTAGTTCCCTTCTCCTCCCCCAAACCTTTTAAGTTGTAAGTCCTTTCAAGACATTACTTTTTTCTGTATGGCACTAGGGATTGATCCCAGAACCTTTGCCCTGAGCTATATCCTTAGTCCTTTTTCTTTTCTCTTTTTTTTTTTTTTTTTTTTTTTTTTTTAGGTATGTGTCTCACTATGTAGTTGAGACTGACCTGGAACTCACTATGCAGCCCAGGCTGGTCTCAACCTCACAGCGATCCTCCTGCCTCAGCCTCCCGAGTGCTGGGATTACAGGCATGCACCACCACACCCGGCACCTTGGCCCTTTTTCTGTTTTTTAAAATTTGAGACAAGGTCTTCCTAAATTGCTAAATTTCCCAGGTTGAGTTTAAACTTGAGATCCTCCTGCCTCAACCTCCCAGATTACAGATTATAGATGTTTACCACCAGGCCCTACTCCAATTAATTACTTGTTAAATTAATTGAAGTTGTTTTATGTTTTGTTTTTTGGTTCACCCCATTTAAAGAATCCTTTCTAATGCAAGTACTTGCCTGGGGAGCATGGCTTTTGAAAACTGAATGAGTCTAAGTGGGGGTACAGACCTTAGTACCCAGCACTTGCAAAAGGCAAGTATCACTAAGAAGGAGGACAGTGAAGGTGAGTTGCAGTGTGTGTAGATAATAGCCTCCAAAATTGGTGATTTTGAAACTTTCTTTTAAGATGGTCCTTGGTAACAACCACATTATATATCATGACCCCATAACTGAGTAACCACCAGTCTTTAGGGGCTCAGAGAAATTCTGGTTTATGCTATTGTCCTGGGGATCAATATGTACCATTCTGAGGGAGTTAAATCAAAGCATTATCATTGTAAGTAAACTTCTGCCTCTGAGGACTCTGTGAACCTGTTTGCTGCTGCTCTAATGGTTATGGACTCACTGTGCATTACCTCACCATGATGAGCTCAAAAATTTAATTTGCTTACTAGGGCCCTGGTTTGTTCATTAAAATAAATTACCTTTGGGTTGTGGGCTGGCTTTTGAAAAGGCAAACCTGACTGTTATTAAGAGGAACAGACCCTGTGGACAGTAACATCTCTGAAGGAAAGTTCTGCTTAGCAACTTGATAATGAAGTAGTCAAGTGGGGCTGGGGTGGGCACAGGTAATTACTGCTGAAAACTCTGTCTTGTTGAACCATCTCCATGGTGCCCAAACCACGGGAGCCTTTGGGCATAGGCAGCCCCATTGCACTAGGAGCCTTTGGGTTTTCTTAGAGCTAGACAGGCTCAAGCGGATCTCAGAGGAATGTTGTTACAGAGCTGATCACGTGTATTTGTACATTCCAGAACGTTGCATAGCAGGCTGCTTGAAGGAGAGGAGGACATTAAATACTGAGGTGACCTCAGGCACAAAAGTTCCAATGGTCTGTCCCAAATCAGATGTTTCCCAAGATGGCATTGAGCGTATGGCTATTGATTGCATACAAGAACATCATTTTTAAGACATTCTTTTGATGTCTTAGATGAACAGCATGACCCATTCTCCTGACCAGCATCTTTCAAAGGACCCCAACATTGGGAGGAACCTGGCAAAGAAATAAAGCAGGGGGTCCAAATGAAATTTTATACATGGATTCTGTTTTTTCTGATGTTCTTGCTTTATTTTTGTGAATCAGTTTTGTAAAAATGGATATTGTGTTTTTTAGCATTTACACAAAGCTGTGAAGTCGGCATGGATGACTGGGAAAAGTCACTGATAAATGCAGGCACACCAAAGGCCTTTTTGGCAAGTGTGGGTCAGGGATCCTGGAAACCTCCCTGCAGGCTCTGCATGCCCCTTGATATTTCTTCTTCAGTTGCTTTTCCTGTTTAAATAGACACAGTATAACCCATGAGCAAATCAGCTTCCTACCTGAGCTTGAATATCAGAGGGAGACACTCCTAGCCCTAGACATCAGAGTTGACTGATGACTGCAGCTAGTTAATTCTATGCCGTCAGCTGGCAACTAGCACTTATTGTACAAACAGAAATATGAGGGCCAGGGATTTAGCTCAGTGGTTCCACCACCTGCCTCACAAGCGCAAGGTCCTGAGTTTGATCCCCAGTACCAAGAAAAAAAAAAAAACACACACACACACACAACAAAACAGAAATATGAACCACTGAATGACACACTTTTTAATCAAAAGCAAACTCTCTTGCTCTAAATAGATTTTTTAAAAAATGACAGAGAAAGAGCTCTGATCCCATTGGCTAAATTTAATGACCAAACTAGCAGTTAGACCAAAGCTACAATTTAGCACCCTGAAGTGCACAGAGGAGGGAAGCTATTGTTAAGGTGCACAGCCCTGGGTGAATGATGCTTATCTGGAAAACTCTTTGAAACCAGCCCTGTCACTTGACAACCACCTTCAGGTGGAAGTTGTTAGGGTGCCCCTGTGAGTAGCAAACAATTAACAGACAAATCCTACCATCCCTGTCAGTTAAACTTACACAGTCAATACACAAATATACTTTACCTTTAAGGTACCGATGATCCCACCCACTAGCAAATACAGGGGAATGAGAGGCTGAACGGGACAGTCTTCCAAAAACTTCATTCCTACATTGGGCGAAAAAACAGGATTGAGAGAGAGGCAGTCAAAAGCACAAACTCTGGTCATAAAAATGAGCTAAACACCTACAAAAGTCAAAACATCAGCCTCACAAATCAATACTTGACTCCCTGCCCAGCTGGTGGAATTGCCTGGCTTCAGCAGTCACTTGTACAGTGTATTGACAAGGCGGAACCCACTCTCTTGGCTGAAGGGTGGGACGTGAACCATCAGTCAGAGCAGGGACCGATGTCACTGTTCCTTATGTCTGGTTGTTAAGTAGCTGTGAGTGGACTCTGATGTTACGAGCAGCCAATATATGACAGTTCATCTTTTCAAGGATTCAAAGAATCTCTTTAAACATCTAGTTCCCTTGACATGCTTAAAATGAGATTCAATTTATGGGTCATATTCCCAAAATGCATCCACTGTGTAAAATGAGGTTGTCGTTAACTGTGCTGCAGGAGCCAGGTGGCAGGGAGGCGTCAGGAGAGAAGTCTTTCACCTGCTCAGTGGGCCCTCTGCTAGGTTAGTCACAATCACCTCGTTCTCACCACTGACCATGCTCTCACTGGACCCCACGCTGGGAAACGTGCTTCCTAACAGATCCCTAACTGGACTGGAACACTGCCAAACCAGCCAGCCCAGGCCCCTGCTCTTTCTTAATGGCTATTTTTCTTCCCAAAGCAATGCTTTCTTTACTTTTCTTAAGTCTTTGTCTTCTAGGCCTGTTAACAATGATACCAAGTGTCTATTTAAAAGAGAAAGAGGAGATGCCGATGGCTCAAGTGACCAGGCTGCAGATGAGTTCTAACACTGTGTGAAGGCACTGATGGCTCAAAAGAGTTCTCAGGGCTCCCTGTCAGTCCACAGGGCTGTGTGACCAGTTCTGATCAGTGGGACACTTGGGGCCAAATCATTACAAAATCTGATACATGATCATTCTTTTCCTTCCCCTGCTTTGACCTTTCAAAGTTCAAAGAATCTCTTTAAACATCTAGTTCCCTTGACATGCTTAAAATGAGATTCAATTTATGGGTCATATTCCCAAAATGCATCCACTGTGTAAAATGAGGTTGTCGCTAACTCTGCTGCAGGAGCCAGGTGGCAGGGAGGCGTCAGGAGAGAAGTCTTTCACCTGCTCAGTGGGCTCTCTGCTAGGTTAGTCACAATCACCTCGTTATCACCACTGACCATGCTCTCACTGGACCCCACGCTGGGAAACGTGCTTCCTAACAGATCCCTAACTGGACTGGAACACTGCCAAACCAGCCAGCCCAGGCCCCTGCTCTTTCTTAATGGTTATTTTTCTTCCCAAAGCAATGCTTTCTTTACTTTTCTTAAGTCTTTGTCTTCTAGGCCTGTTAACAATGATACGAAGTGTCTATTTAAAAGAGAAAGAGGAGATGCCGATGGCTCAAGTGACCAGGCTGCAGATGAGTTCTAACACTGTGTGAAGACACTGATGGCTCAAAAGAGTTCTCAGGGCTCCCTGTCAGTCCACAGGACTATGCGACCAGTTCTGATCAGTGGGACACTTGGGGCCAAATCATTACAAAATCTGATACATGATCATTCTTTTCCTTCCCCTGCTTTGACCACCTGGAAACCATGGTTGACATGGCCTCTCTCAGGACTGAGTCATCACATTGCTTGGGG